TAAGCTTGAGGGATAAAATTTAGGGTTCAATTCCAGCAGTAGACACAACACAGATAACTCTTTATGTAGTTTTGTGCTATAAATAAACAAACCTTTGCACCACATAGAAGTAACATATTCTACATAAATAACACTGTGTTAAGGTAGCAACTAGACAAAAATAGAAGTTGGTTTACCAGATACTCTTCATGGATCATTTTTGGATGCACTGATTGTATGCCTGGTGGAAATCCAAGAGTCAAAGACAAAGATGATTTTTAGTGAGTATAAGACTCTGTCAGCATATTTTTTCTGTGTGCTATTTAATCTATGACATATCACATTTGATTGTGTTTTTATCAACAGTTAAACATGTCATGTCATGTATGTATAATTAGGCTTAGAGCTTTCCCACCATGCAGTTTAGAGACTTTATACAATGGGTTTGTTGATTTACAATTTTGAGCTTTTTTATTGGATTTGAAATGAACACAAAATTTCTTTGTTTAAATGTTTTTCTTTACAAATCATTGGAAAGATTATTTTAAGGTACTCAATAACACTTTTTTTTTATGTACTATACTTTTTAGTTTCCTTTAATTGGACTGGTTAAAAATATTATATAAAGCCAGTTTATTGACAGATTTGTTATTGTCAGTTTAAAGATTTTGTCAGCCACAAATTATAATTGTTATTTGAATTAATGAAAGAAATGTAGTGGTAGTTAAAGATATCATTAATTAAAGAAACAGATTAGGCACAAAATATACACTTTAAACCCAGTATGTGAACACTACCTGTATGTGTAATTAAAGAATAATGAATGTCAGTTTTATGGAATTGTTAGTCAAAATTTCAGAATATTTGGCATAAAAGATGTTTCAGAAACACTCTCATGCCTATATAATTCTAGTAAACTGCTGTTCCTATAAAACAATAAAATATATACTCATATATATTGACTTTTATAGACTCTGTAACCAAATATATGATACTGTTCTTGTTATAGTTTTCCTTGTGTTTCAGTATGGTGTCTAGTCTTAAAAAATTAATTTTCAAAGCAGGGATCTATATAAATATAATAGTACTGTCTGTTGTATGTCCATGTAACTACTTCACCTCTGTAAATGGATCTTCACCAAATTTGGTATGGAGGTTCATTGGGTCCATGGGGAGGTACATACATATTTTCAGTCTTGCATTTTTTGTTTTGCAGTTTTTATGGGCGTTTTTGCATATTTTACCACTACCTTAACTCCTGTGGATGGACATTCACAAAATTTGGTACAGGGGTTCATTGGGTCTATGGGGAGATACATACAAATTTTCAATTTTGCATTTTGCAGTTTTTATGGGCATTTTTGTGTTTTTTACCACTACCTCACCTCATGTGAATGGATATTCACCAAATTTGGTATTGAGGTTCAATGGATCCATAGAGAGATACATACAATTTTTCATTTTGTGTTTTGTGGTTTTTATGAGCATTTTTGCATTTTTTTATCATTACTTTGCCCCCTGTTGATGAATCTTCACCAAATTTGGCATAAAGGTTTGTTTGGTACATGCAGAGATACATACAAACTTACAGTTTCATATTTTATGTTTTGTAGTTTTTATGGGCATTTTTGCATTTTTTAGAATTATATATATATATATGGGAAGCAACTATTCATGTCATAAGGTAACCTTTCATTAATCATGAATTTGCATAACTTCCATCCAGGTGCTACTTTTATAGATTAATCCTCCACAACTTTCTTCATAAGTGTCGGCTGAACTAAGCAATTGCTGCACATTTCATCATTGTTCATTCATCATGAAGATTCTACCTAAGTCATCTATAAGAGAATAATTTATCACTCTTGGACTTTACTATATTAAATACCAATGTATAATATTTTGTTGGCATTTTTACTACATAGTTTCAGGAACTTTAATGTATAGAATTGTTCATATCAGTAAAACCTTTTGTGGTATAAGAGAACTAGCCTCATAAAGAGAAGAATAAGACTGAAAAACCCACTTAATATTAGAGATGAGATACAACTGATAACAGAATGAATGAACTACTTATTCAATGAGGTTTTGTTAACTGCTATATTTGGGAAAATATCCACAGCTGTAATATTTTGTTTTAGTAAACTAAAAATTGATTTCCATGGTTGTCTGCAGGCCCAAACCAAAATTGAATCTGTTCATAATTGGCCAACACCATAAAACGTGCAGGAGATAAAAGGATTTCTTGGATTACTTTCTTTCTATCATCATATGTAAAATTATTCTCTGACATAGCTCATCCTACTTGAAAGAAAATAAACACGTTTTGTTAGACTGCTTATTGTGAAGCCTTCAACAGATTGAAAAAAAAATTAACCACTACTCCTGTATTAACATACCTAACTCTTGAAGATCAACTAATATTTGATACAGATGACAGCAAGTGAATGCTGCAGAAAGGAGGTATTGTACAACTGGAAAGAAGAGAGTTTCTAAGTGTTTTTTGAGCCCTAAGTTATTTCTATCTTTACCTCTGAGAAAAAGTTTGTGCTTCAGATATATTGCACATCATTTGAAAGAGTTACTGTTGATGGATTTGATCCTTTGTCACAGAGTAACAGTGGGAAAAAATACATCATATAGTGATGGACTATTTTACCAAGTGGCCAGAATCATGCACTCCTAACAAGAATCAGAAACTTTGGCAAAGAAGCTTATCAATGAACTTGTTTCAAGATTTGAGGTAGTTATGGGACTTCATGCAGATCAGGGATGGAATTTTAAATCAAGGAAGTTTTTGTGTCAAATCCTTGGTGGAGGGATACAATTGTACACTTTTAAACCAATTGGCCATTTATATGGATGAACATCAGAAAACATGCGATCAAGGTCTGCCACTGCTACTCATGAGTTAATGAACAGCAGTACATGAAGCTACAAGCAACATACCAATAGATTCTCTTAACCATCTACCTGTAGTGACAAGACAGCATGTGACAGATAAAGAACAAGAGGTCATTCCATCTTTGTACTGTAAGCCATGGAAAAGAAAAACACCCAAAAAGATTTAGTGAATAAACAGTTTAAGAGAGAGAGTCAATAAGATAATGAATAATATTTGTATTTATTAATTAAGATCTGGGTTGTACTTTGTTTAACACATTTAATTAATGATTTAGTGATTGTAACGCTTCTTTATGAATTTTAATTTTAGTTCTCTATTAGTGTATAAGGTCTAAGGGACTACACAATTTAGGGAAAGGACAGTGTTGTGAGCTACATTTTTATATTTTGATTTATTGCATTTTATATTGTTTGCTATAGGAAGTTTTGTCATTACGTAGTGATGGTATGCAATGCCCAGAAAATTAAATAGAAAATTGGCTTTTTGGTGGAAAGCAAATGGTGATGATAAATTGATATATTTCCAGTTGAATAATTGAATTGTTGGTGTTCTTCAGATATTTAGATTGAGATCTTTGTTTTTTCGTTATTTGCGTCAGTGATTTGGATATCTTATTTGACTTTCGTCAAATTTTATGCTAATTTTTCTTATATTATTCAGTCCGCTTTTTAAGAACTGGTCATCTTTGGTTCCGTTTATAAACCTTCCCTTTTTGAGTTTGGCTGTCGAGCAAACTTTCTATGATGGATTGAGACGTGTAGAACAATAGACCAGACATGCTAATACAGTGTTTCCCAACCGTCTGGACGCGGATCATTATTTGTTGGGACGTGAAATGTTGTACTAATATTTCAAATAATAATAATTTATCAGTAACTTTCACCATTTTTATCTGCCTCCGACAATTAACCTTAAAGGTCGAAAACACATCAATCAGCTGAGTTGAAATGAGCGAGATCAGTCTGTGTTTGTTTTTTGTTTTATTGTTAAGCATAGAGGTATAAAATGGGATATCTGAGACACCTGCAGACTATATAGTTGTGAGAGAAGGTTAAATCAAATGTTATCAAAATGTGTCCTTCCCACATCCATTGCAAAATTTCTCTTCTGCAAGCACATTCCGAAGGACGAGACCTCCACGTTTATTTGGAGGCTTTTAATTAATACTTGAGATTCGTGGATACATTAAATTTAAAACCCTAACAACACAAATTGATAATTTTGATGAATAGAAGTTATAATGTAATCGGAATATAATTAATATATTTTGCAATCACAAATACCTTTGAATTTCTGTTCTGAAGGCTGGAAAAATTCGAAAAAGCGTGCGTGCGTGCCTTTTCCCTTCGTCGTTGTAATTACCAGTACTATCAAATAACGCATATAAACATACTCTGCAAGAATTAACAGTAATAAGCGCTGAAATGAATCTGATATGGGAAGTACTATACATCACTTTCGGTAGTTTCACTATTACCTATAATGCATTAAAAGACATTTTACGAGGATATTGGAAAATGTTTTTGTTTTTTTTCGAAGCTTCTTCATTTGTAAGAGATAATAGAAGGGTTAAAGTCCTAGGTGCCGGTCTATTTTGAAACCACTGTAATATATAATGATCGAGTTAGTGATTTGTGTATTTGGTAGCTTGAACATCAGGTGCCTCAGCTGGTAGAGCATTTCAACGTTAATGTGAGCTGGGGTTCTGGATTTAAGCAACGTGCCAGATTATAGTAACATTTGTATGTTTTTAAAGTTTTGAATGGATTGAAATATATTCAACATAAAATCATATTTATCATCAAAGTAAAGGTAATCTGAAGCTATTACATGTCGTATACACAGTTTGGAAACTTTCCTTTGAGTTTGAGTAAATTGACTGAACTATTGTACAATAGATATTGTGATTGGCAATCATATGAATCTTGAGTGCAATTGAATTAAAACGTTTTTTTTTAATATTATACAGGACATTAAATTTCAACAGCCAAGCTAAGAAGGGAGTACATATATTTTCTGTGAAAATTGGGTTTAATTAGTTGACTTTATCAAATAATAAAATTGTACAGTACAAATCGGTGCTGTGTGATGTAAACCAAATGTATTTAAATTTCAGAGTGGGTCCACATCCGAACCTAGTGTGAAACAACCATACATTACTTCTGGTCAGCAGAACCCACTGATATCTCCTCATGGCCAGTGTGGTCAGCATTATCCCCAACGGTTATATCTGCCAACACAAGAACAACCTCAAAGTTCATCATCCTTTATCGTTAACCAAGGTTACTCCCAGCAGGTAAATAAATTTGTGGTCCATATACACATACACATATGAACATCACATTATTGGAAATACACTTGAAAAATATTGAGAACTTAAGAAAGAGTTCAGTAAAAAATATTGATGTTTTGATGTTATAAGCTTGTTATATACACTGAACATATAATAAGTAATATCCAGTAAAGGAAGTTTAAACCATTCCATAATAATCTTTTAACTTCATAATTTTCCAAACAAATTTATAATTGAATAAAAATGGTAAAGTCTGTATTTGCATTATTTTAGAGTTTAGTTTTTTTTTTATGTTTAGATTTTTCTATGTCTGTTGTGCATGTTTTTTTAATAACATGTATTTGTTATGTTTATGATTTTAGAAAAACACGTAGGTTCAAGAAGTCTTGATAGAAATGAATAAAAACCCTATAACCTGAGCACTTTCGAAAGTACTTGGGTTATAGGGTTTTTATTCATGTATTTGTTATATATACTGTTGTATAGCAAACCCGTTTCAAAATTAATGATTCCATGGTTGTATTAATTATTCTGCTCTATTCCTTTGATAATATGATCTATTTTAGAATATGTGGAGTTAAATTCTTTGAAAATGGCTTAGATTGTAGGATGAATCAATATAAACAGAATATAAGATGGGTCTTTTAAGGGCCTTAACTTGACCCATATTAGATTATGATGGAAATTTTTATAAATATAGTGCCAGATATAAATACATCACTTAAAACGTTCCGTCCTTGCCGCATCATAATTTCCAAGATGGCAGTCACTAACATTTGTGTGGACCTGGATGTTAAACAGAGTATATTGTCTGTACATTACATGATGACCTTAGCTTTATGTAACCTGCTAGCTGTCAGATGAATTTGTTATTCTCTTTTCTGCATCATGTGTATAATCTTCATAGGCAGAAACTTAAGTCTTTATAAGCTACATCAAGTTAGTAAACAGAGAATATTATCTGTTCATTGCCTGATAACCTTAGCTTCATGTAATCTGCATAGTTCTCAGATCATTTACTGTTCTGCACTATTGCAATGCTCTTACAGGCAGCATCTTAAGCCTTGAATGTGTTCTGATGAAGTTTGAACTCTAGGTACAATAACACAGATACTACATAATTACAGCATCTCACTCCTTGCCTCAGAACAAACTAGCAACATGAGATTACAGTCCTCATAAAATACCAGAAAATGACAGAAGCTGAATGCAGCCATAAAAGAAGCTATGAGTTACTATCTTATGTCACCTCTCTCCTGCAGCCTATTTTAGTGGGACGAAACTCTTGAAGATGATAGCATGTTTTCCCACTTCCTCCCAGGAATATATTGGTTAATATTGCACAATGCACAAATGTTCCTAAATCTCCAGTGTAAAGAATTTATGAGTTGAGATTTTTATTGGTGAAGTAGTCCACATCCATAACCCAAATGTACTTAGTGTTTCATATACTTTGCTATTTCTCACTATTTCCACTCACATCATTTTGAAAACAAATAGTTCTAACTTACAGCATCCTAACATCTTATTCATAGCCTTTGCTACAGATATGAAGTTTATACTACACAGAGGACTATTCCAAATCATGTTGCTTTTTTTTAAAATCTAGTGGGTTAAAGCACAAGTTTAAAATGTAATACTATAAATATGGCACATACAACATGACTTTTTGCTGTTTTTTCATGACAAATAACCTGTTCAAAATTACTATATCTTGAAAGAGATTTCTATCTCATATGTATAGTAAATCTCAGTTCTATGTATCTGTATATTATTTTATTTTTAAGCTCCTCTTCAAATGTTTGAAAAAAATCTTGCATTTACCTTCTTGATCCCCAAAGAATACACAGAAAAGAAATATTTTCAAAAGGATTATGAAGAGGCCCAAAACTGGTGGGATCAAGAATTTTGTGGGCTCCAAGCTTTGATTGAACAGTTAGGAGTCTCATTTAGTGTAAATATAAACCACATGTGCAAAGTTATTCAACAAAAACCATTCAAATTTGACAAAAACATTTATGCATGCCTATGCAAAATGTCACGTGAGCTATTGGTCTAACATTTTTACTACAGCTTCACCTAAGAATAAAAGTGGTTAGTTTTTACTTTTTTTCATTTGGATTAAAGACATCTGATTCAGAGCATAAAACCATAAGGTGAAAGGATGTGCAGATACATAAGTATTTGTTAGGCCAAGCAAACTAGATTAGCATTTTCCAGCTCAAGTTTTCAAAAGAATCATACAGGTGGGCGATTATTACTGATTATTGATTGCCAACTTTTCAGCACAAATTTACTAAATTTTATGAAATTATCCTAACTAAAGAGCATTTTGCATCATGTGATATTATCTTCAGCAATTAGCATAAATAATGATGCTTGATACAAATCAACTATTCTTCCTATCTCAGTTGTTACAATACAGCTATGAAACTCACTTTAGAAATTGCTTGTCGCAGCTAAACTGACAATTACTTAGTCCAAGTCTGTCTAATTATTTCTTTTTTTATGATGAATCAAAAAATGTTTTTATTAAGACTTTATCATTACGTAACATACCAAAGATTATTAGTAGCTTTTCTCTTCATACAAGAAGAACTATCTTTTTCAAATTTTGAATGCCTTTCTTTTCTATATTGCCAGTGTTTACAAATATAAGGTTTTTATCATTAAATGTGTATAACTATTAAACTTTCCATTATTGTTTGTGATTCAATTATGAAAGCTTGTAACTCTTGAAACATAAAAGTGTAGAGACTTTTCTTATACATAAAACAGAAAGGGTTAAAGTTTGAATGTTTATGTTCTTAGACTGTGAAGATGTTTAAGATTAGGCTTTAAAGGATTGAGGGAAGAACACACAATATTACCTCTCAACTCCACCAATAAGAAAAGAAAAATTAAAGAAGAAAAGAAATACAAATCCAACAATTTTGATGTAGAGAGGAAGTATTCAAACTTAGGGGTTATCTTACCATTGGTTACAATTCCAAATCGTTTTAGTTCTGAGAACAAATTTAGCTTCACTTTCTTATCAAAGTTGAAGAATTCTTCTTTTAAGATCTTCTAGAATTATGTAAATCAAAAGAGAAATTTGACAAGAACTACTAGATATTCAGCATTGTTTTGTGATAAGAAGAGAAACATGCTTTTAAGGTTTTCTGTCATGATAAAATTTTTGAAAATACTTCAGTATGAGTGAACATAAAATGGTTCACTGCATTAGTGAGCTTTAAGTATACCTAATCTGCTTAAAGCTTGCAGTTGTTTCGTAATGCATGAGAGAGTAGAGTAGTTTTTGTGGCTCTCTCTTAAAATACATGCATAAATATCCTTCAGGTGAAGAAAGAGCCCTGAAACATTGGGCAAATTATTTCCTGAATTTTGCAACAGATTAAGACAGCACTTGAGAGCAATGACACCTGTAGAATAAAGTTTAAGTACAAGTTGAAGGTTGGAAAGAATAGTGAAACTTTGAGAAGGAATGTATTATTGTATCTATATTTTACAATAGTGTTAGTAAATACTCGCTTGTAACAAATTGTTGTTTAGTTCCATACGATCTGGAAATGAAAATGAACACATTTGGTTTATTTTCAGGTGATGATTTTAGTATATTAAAGCATACAAATTATTTGTCTTGTGAGTTTGTAACACTAATTGGAGTGTATTAAGCATCTTTTTTTTTGAGATCAAGCACTAATTATGACTAATTACAGATATATATTTCTGTACACCACTATTATGGTATTTAACCTTCATTAGGGTATTTTTTTCACTCTTTATGTACACCAATATTATGTTATTTCACCTTCATTAGAGTATTTTTTCACTCTTAACACATCACAAAGTGGTGGTGTTAGTCATAGTTGAATATATTACATTAGATGCAGTAATAAGAAAATGTATTTAGTTAATTTTACATAAAATAGTTTCAAGACATGTCTCAATGGTAAACTGTGTATGATAAAGACAAATACAGTTTTGTCTATTCTTAGATTTGTTTCATTTGGATAAACTGGTATATTACACTCTTCCATGACAAGAAAAAAATGACATATATTTATTCAGATATATTTAGGTAAATTTGTAAACTGAGTGGTAGTACCGAGACTTGTACAAGTTAAGGGTTGAGGAATTTATCTCTCATGAATGTTTAGTGAGAATGATAGTCAATATAAGGAATTTAGGATTGTGGGATATTGTACTAGGAACTTTTGCTCTGACTTAACAGTGCAATACATCATTATTCTTGTTTCAATCTTCATCTTCTTATGTGTTTTTCTCTCCTGCTCAAGCAATAAGAGAAGTCACATAATGAACATTAAAGCTGGCTAACATAGTAAGACTTTAGTGCCTTTTTTGTTTATGAGAACAATGGTTTTCATTGTCTTCGGATTTATATATCTGTACTTGTGTGTTTTTCTTTTGTTGTGTTCAATTTATTCTTCGTAAAGCATTTCCTGAACTTGCTGCTTGTCACAGATTACATATAGTTTACGTGTTGATAATCAGCGTACCTGAATAAGACAAATTGATGTACATTTTGTCTACAAAAAATATTTAATTTTTTCCCAGTAGTATTGTAAAGGAAGCATTTCTAAACCATATAATAATGCTTGGAGACGGCTTGAATGGGTAATGAAGAAACTTTTTAATATAAGTTTAACATAACAGCAAATGTACAACGTTTCGACCAGGTTTTGTCATCCTGATGAATTATTGGTAAGTCAATAGGCTATAGGTTTTCAGACATTATGTGAGGGTGTAAGTCAGAAGTTCTGGGTTAAAATTCTGACCAGGGTAGATTGTTTTTCATCAGTTTCAAGTTGTTACAGTGTCTGTTGGACTTTGGGCAGAGAAAATACTGTTTACTTTGGAAACTGCTGATGTGTTTTATGAATATGTAAGATTTGTATGACATAAAAGATTTCTAATGCATGAAAACTTTCATTCATTTTTCGAAGCATAGAAATGTAATACTAAGTGTAAAATTATCTAAC